CGTGGTTGCTAACATATTCTCCTTCTTTCATCTTGCTAGCTATGAGGGACTTTACCACCTTGTACTTTTCCTGACGAGCTCCCTTATGGTACTTTTCCATAAGGTCCTTTTTTATCTTGTACGGCCAGTAATCCTCATAGTATCTCTGTAATTCAGGACTCTTTGTGGCCACCATGATGCAAGCAAATTTTGTTGCATCATTGTAGTGTTTCTTATAGGCAACCATTTCTTCAGGAGTGACCTTCTCTTCGTCGATCTTATCTAATGGTCTCTCAGGGACATACTCCTTGTCCTCGAAATGAAGGGCCATCTTTATGTTGCACATCCAGTTATTTTAGTTGGTGCCATCCAATTGCACCTTGGAGCAAATGTTCAACAAGGAAAAGTTATGGTTGGAGGAGGAGGAACCAGAAGCATCATTTGGAGTAGACATCTGTAAAAGAAAGATAGTTTCTATTTAGATAAGAATAATCCTCAATATAACACCAAAAAATGAAATATTAAGGCTAGGATCCAACTAAATAATTCACAACTTAGAAAAGGGATACCGTAATCTAATTGTAATTATAAAAATGTAGGTAAATGACGATTTACCAATTTCACCACAAAAAAAAATATGAACGAATTAAGTTTTAATGACCTAGATCTTTTGAGATTCATTGAAACTCTTCAGTGACATGTTTAATCTCGATTATGCTCATCCATTTATGACAGGGATACCGAGGATCACAAACAAGATGTAAATAACCATGCAAATTAGCTTGACACTCTCGATGTCATTTATCATCTCATTTTAATGTGTCGGTTAACCACGCACGCTCCATTAATCAATGATAATTTTCGACACACCTATTGCCACTATTGATTAGTCGCTATTAGTGTCCCGGTTAACCACATAGGCTCCACTAACGACTTATAAAGTACAATGTGCAATTTAATGGGTTAACATACAAATTCACATTTTTCCTAAAGTAACTAAGATAGAGAATTTTGATAAATGGGTTAATTACTTTTTAATTCATTATACTTATTAATGAGAATTAATTTTTCCTATCAACCCATTCGGCTAACGACTTTCCGCTAATAAAGGAAGTGATGAGTGAGAGTGGACACCCATTCAACTACCATTTTATAGACAGTTTTCTTATAACCCCCTGCATACTAGCTTCGTGAATGAGGCGTACTAGCTGTTCACTGACTTAATCTTATACATATAGTAATTATTAAACTTTTAATTTTACATATAGTATAAGGTGTATTTTAAAAAAATTTCAAAATACTAGGTTTAAATATTAAATTTTGAAAATTAAAAAAAATTAAATCTAAATTTAAAATTAAACCAAATGATTTAATAATTATCTATTAATTAAACATTTAATTAATTATATTAAATCATATAAGGATTATCAAATTAAATTAATCAAATAATTTAATCCTAATCCATACCCCTAATTTTTAAAAAATATGGGTAGGGATTTATCAAATTTTATAATTATCCTATTTAATCAGATAAACTGACAATTACCAAAAATAAGAAAAACTTATAAATACTTATCAATTTTTCGAAAATTGCATGCTTGGGGAGGAAGATAAGGATTTCAATCCTTACCTTATTTTCAAAATCTTGAGGGTCAATGAACGCCCTCCAAATCAAAAACTTGGGAGGCAAGGTAAGGGTTTCATCCCTTACCAAATTTTCGAAATTTAGGGTCCAAGAATCCCTAATTTCGAAATCCTTAACCTAAAGGGTTTAATAGACATAAATCCTAATTTGATCAAATCATCAATTATAACCATTCAATAGAAAACAAACCTTACTCAGATACTACTAACAAGTTTTAGACATTACAAAACAAACTTAAATCCTTAAGTGTGCATGCAACCTAAAACAAAAAATCTATTTTTTCTCTATTGAACCTAAAACTATGAACATCAAATAAGAACACTAAGGAACTTTAGGTATTTTTGAAATCTAGAAAGAAAGAAGAAAAACATATATTTTGATCCTTTGGAAGCAATCACCACAATTTTCGTGCCTCTAGTGGTTCACAACCAAGCTAGCAATAAAGATGGTGAAGAGAAAGGGGAGAGGTAAATTTTGGTTTCTCACAGAATAGGAGTGGCTGAAATTTATAAGGCTTAAGGGCCTTTACATAGTGTAAGTAGGAAACCCAAGATAAGCCCTAAATCAATAAAATAACATTATATTAGTTTTGGTAATCATCTAGCTTCCTAATTATCATCCAATGATAACTCTAGAGCCCTAAAAGACTACCCCAAACCGTCCACCACTATGGTGGAAGGTTCTGGTGCCTTTTCCTCAACTATTTAATAATTTCACTTTTAGTCCTTGCATTTTTATTTAATTCTATTAACCCCAAAATTAATTCCAATTAATTTCTGTTTATCATTAATCAAATATTACAATTTCTAATTAATATATTATTTATATAATATATTAATAAATTATTTATTTGAATTTATTAGTTAAATAATAAATCAACCTCTCTCTCTCTCTCTCTCTCTCTCTCTCTCCAAAAATCATCTTGTCTAATTGTTAGGTTCGAGGGCAACCCAAAATGACTGTGCTGCTATCCATTCAAGTTTATACTAATTATAGTATCTACACAACAGTTCTTTGGATTGATCCTTTGATTTTATTGCTTTAAGGTTTCCTCCTTAATAATTATCTGAAGCGTCAGTTTCTATAATTAATTTATAATCAATATTAGGATGATATAGAGGCGGAAACTCTTCATTGGTTCTAAATATGAGGATATCATCTATACAAATATAACAAATATTTTCAAAATATGTGAATGCCTTTTGCATATGTCTTTGAATTATAGATGGAACTTGTTTTAGACCGAAAGGTACTACAGTCCATAGATAATGTCCTTAAAGACATGTGAAAGCAGTTAAGAGCTGTTATTCAGCGTTAAGTGAAACTTGCCAAAAGCCAGATTTAGAGTCGAAAGAACCGAATACGGTTTTTACTCTAATAAGGGTGAGAAGTCCATCTTTATTAAGGAGATTATGGTTGTCACATAAAGTTGTTTTGTTAATCGCTTTATAGTTAACTACCATTCTTTTCTTTCATGTTCTTATTTTTGCTTCATTTTCGACACGGAAGGCAGGGCATATGTGAGGAGATTTACTTGGAATGATAACTTTTATTTCAATTAGTTTTTAAATTTTTTTACCAAGTTCTTCGACATCTTGAGGACTATATCTCATAGGTTTAACTGTGATGATACTGGCCATGTCGATTAATTTTATGTTTGCTTTCATCAACTGTTTAGACTTTATTGGGTGTATAGGATTTTTTAAGCAAACTTTTTTAAGTAAACTTTCAATTTTTGAAAACTTTTCTTGGTTAAGAAGAAATTTATACTCTTCAATACCCCCCCCCCCTTTTAAAAGGTAAAGTTTCTTCAATTTTGCTTTGAGAGACGTTGATGATTTCTGGTTTCTGAATATTTGAATTATTTTTCAATGATTCTAAAAATCCAGATTTTCCATTTCTATAAGCCTTTGTGATTTTATCAACAATGGTTTGAACACTATTGTTGTGGAAAGTAACTGTTTTGAGGTTTTTTGCAAATGGTTTTATGAAAAACATAAGTTATTTTCTAGGATGAAATCTATTCCACACTCCTATTGGTATATCGAAGAAATATAGCAGACTTCTCCTGAAAGTCTTATCTGTAAGTCATCACATTTTTTGTTGATAGTTACAGGTCTATTTGCAGTAGGAACTTTTACAGGTTTTGGGGTGTGAATCCAGTGTTCTTGTAGGATAACCTATTTACTTGCGATAGAAAGGTTGGCTCCTGTATCAATATAGCAATGTAAATCAATCTATTTATATCCGCAAATCTAAAAGTTTCATTAACATTATTAGGATTTGTGATAGTTAGTATCATATTTTTAGAGTTTGAGACGGTTGATTTAATTTGAATCAGTGTTTGATTTTGTTGATTATGACTCATCTAGAGGTTCTTCAATTAATGTGTAGACGATTTTTTTCTTTTTGAAAATTTTCTTCTATGGGTTTAAGGTATATATATGACGTTAATTCAAGGAGTTTAACCATTTATGGATAATCTTTCCTATTAGGACACTCATTGGCGTAGTGTCCTTCTTCACTATTAACCCAACATCTACAGTTCTTTTTATTTTTTGGACGAAATTTACTTTTGTCTTTCAATTTTCGTAAATCTTTTGATTTATGGAAATACTTTCTTGGTTTAAACCATCTAGTGTTTTTCTTTTTTGAAAATCTTTTATTGTTCTTTTTTTAATATTTATTAAAAGATTTCTTTGAAGAACTTTTTGTTTTATGGACTATCTTACATCCATATTCCAAGGGCTTTTCTTTTGCTAAGTGACTACAACAATTTTTATTAAAACGTTTAAGTCTTTTTTGTGTGTTTTATCGATTAGAAATTTTTTGTATTTCCTCAATAACAATTCTTTTAACAAAAGTAAGACTGTAATTATTGCATTTGTAGATTCTTTTAAAAATCTATAATGAGATTGTTGTCCTACAATATTAAATTTTAATAGATATTGTTTGATTAACTCAGGGTATTGAGTTGAATCATTTATTTTTTAAATATTTGCTTCGTAGTCACAGGTGTATTGATCAAGAAAGCAAATATCACATATAATGAGATTCCTAAGCCTAGATTTGGCTTTTTTGATCTCTTTTGTATTCATTGGCTTTGTCTTCTATAAGATCTATATCAAGGAATGTCATGTGGATGGAATCAAGCATGTTTTGGAATACCATCATTAGATTATGACTAATTCAGGTTGTATTTTTGATCAACTTTTGGACTATTCCTGAAGTTTTATGGTCAAAGAACAAAACGGTAGAGCTTTTTATTGCATATTTTTCTTTGTTAGTCTGAATAATTTGACTTATTTTTGAAGTCCATCTGTCGTTGACTTCTTTTCTGTTTGTTTCAATGTTGTTTGACAAAGTTTATTCTGAACTAGTTCGGATTTCCAATAGGAAGATCTGGTATAAAAGTGGATCTATTACCTTGTCCAGTTTTAGGTCTTTTTCTTCTTTCACCTTGAAAAGAGGATTCTCCAGGATAATGATGATCGAATTGTGGTTCAACTTTATTCATCATGAAGTTAGTCTTTATATCAAAACAATGATAATCTACTTCTTCTTCTGAAATATATACATAAGTCTCTTTTTCAGAGGATTCTTCTATGGAATTAATCGTTTCATCAAAATGGAAGAGTTGTTTAAGTTCTTTCGATGAGTAGATTTCTGAGTTTGCTATATCTTTTCCTTTAGTTTCAGCAAGGTCTAATATCCTTAGGTCTTGAGCAAGAATCGAATCATTTGATCCATTGATTATTAGTTTGTCATCTTCATAGTTATCGCAAAAGATTTTTTTTACTTCCGATAAGTAGTCTATCATGTTGTCTTAAAATAGTCTCTGGGTAATGTCATTGAATTGGGATTCCTTGATGAACCTTGTTCTTCATTTCTTACATTATAATTAGGATATGAGTACTTACAAATGAATAGTTTTATATCTTCATTTTTAGGATCTAAGATTGTAGTTGTGATTTTATTGATTAGTTCAATAATTTCTTTGTTGCCCAAACATTTTTGAAGCTCTTTTTGAGTTTCATTAATATTTTTTGCTGTGATGGCTTCTAATTGATTTGTAGTAACTAATCCTTGGTTAATCATTTGATTAACATTTTCGGTTAGTTTGTCAATTTTTTCACTTAGTTGATTAAGTGGTTCTTTGAGGTCAACAATGGATGTTGTCATCCCATTAATCGCTTCATTTGATTTTGTATTTATTTTAAATCTAAGATTAAAATCTTTGTTCATATGTGCTAGAACGGCATTATCACAAACTTATTTTAGTAGAATGTCTATGTTTTTATAAGATTTATAAAAATTTCTAATTGTTTAGAGTTATTTTCTACTATGCTGTTTATTTTTAGAACAAGTTTGTTTTGATATTCTATTTAAGTAGATATTTTTTTTTCAAACTGATTGCTCTTAACTTCTCCCCATTGTTAAATTTCGTTGTTAATGTAGTAAACCAACTAATTATTATGGTTTACATACATTTGTTTTCCTTGATTATGCTTATGTTAATGATGGTAACTGGAGACAATGGCTATGAAGTGCATAACCTTGGGATAGGTGACTGTAGTGAAAGGTTATCGATTGTAGTCTATAGAAGAAGGAAATACTTCAAAATATATTGTTAGTAGAGACGTTACCTTTGATGAATCTGTTGTGTGTAACTATAGGGAGAACATATAAGTCTTGAAGGGAAACATGATCAGGGTGCTAGCCACAAGGTGGAGTTTGTAACTACAACTCCAGATAGAGTTGTGATAAATGACGAACAAAAGTTTGGTGAAAATTAGTCTACACTAGAAGAATCCAAAGAACAAACCAGGAAACAAGAGTCTAGTGATGTTCATGCCAAGAGGGGAGATGAGATAGAAACTATAGCGAAAGGAAGACAAAATAGGATCATTCAAAAGACTGCTAGATATGATGGACGTTTTAGTTCATGTGACATTGGTTCTATAGCGTATGTACTAGCGATTAGTTCCTGCATATATATATGTTGCTATACATGCTCATCACAATCAAGGAATTGGTCATGATTAATGACGTGAACACTCTACTAAAGGATGGGTTTGAGATGAAGGATTTGGGAGTTGTAAACAATATTTTAGGCATGTAGATTTCAAGAGATAAAAGAGCAATGCGGCTATGAATTTCTCAACAAAAGAAACATTGAGATTGTCTTGCAATCATTATACTTTGATCAATCCAAACTAAATGGAACACTTTTTGCATCACATTTATACTATATTAAAGTACTATACCAACTACTAATGATGAAAGAGATTACATGAGAAGGGTTCCATACTCAAGTGTTGTTAGAAATCTCATGTACACGATGGTCTATACTAGACCTGATTTGGCTCATTCATTTAGTTTGGTAAGCAGGTTTTTGAGAAATCCATGGAAAACTCATCGGAAAGTGATCAAGTGGATTATGTGATTCCTGAAGGGAACATTTGATATTTTTCTAGTGTATGGTGCTAATACACAACAAAATGACTTTGTTGCATACGCAGACTCGGACCATGGTGTTGATATGTTGAATACATGTTAATGACTGAAGGTATAAATAAGTGTGTATGGTTACATGGTTTTGTTGAGAGTCTTGGTATGAAGGTGGAAAAGGCTTGTCTTATACTGTGACAGTCAATGGCCGGAGTGTTTTTTGTCTTGAAAATAATCATGAAAAGACATAACATACTAATTTCTACTTGATTTCATTCATGAAATTTTGGAGGAACACAAATTCTCTATCTTGAAGAAAGATATTAATGATAATATATAAGGCAATTTAAAAATTCATTGTCTATGTAAAAGTTCACGCTTTTCTTTGAATTAGTTGATGTACGCAAGAGTTAAGTCCTTATGGGGTAATTTAGTAGGAGAGAGAAAGAGAGAGAGAGAGAGAGAGAGAGAGAGAGAGAGAGAGAGTTCTTGTTAGGTTATTAGGGATCTTACAAGGCCACAAAGGCACACAATGAAAGTGATAAAACAATAATCTCATAAACCCAAAAGGATGCATGTTCAATCTATCAATTGCAACTCAAATAATCAAGAAAAACTAGAAAAGCATACCCTTGTAGTCTCTTAAAATCTTCAAATTTGTCCATAGACCCATCTATTTATAGAGAGAGGTTTTGAACTCTTAGGATAATTACTTGGTTACAAAACAATTATCCTAAGTTTAATAATTGTCCTAAAAGATTTGACTTTCATATATTTACTTTTTAAACCGCTTAAGAATAAAAGTTTCTTATCAATTAATTAAACATTTAACTAACTAATAAACTAGACCCTAATAATATTCTTATGTCATTAGTTTCTTATTTATGTCACTATGTGTAGCTCAAAAGGACCTTGTTTTAAAAGTACCATTACCAACTATTGTGACTGTGGGCACTATCTTCCCACAACTCCCACTTGTACAAGTCACCAACACTATGTGGTATAATATTCACTAGTAATAAGTAGAGAGTATGACATCCAATGTACCTGTCATACTCACAACTTAACTTTGTGATACTCTCCTTAGATAAGTGATGATATATTCCTTTGCTCTTCATGATATCTATATGAACGTGAGACATGGGAAAATGTCATTCACGAACATTCAAGACTATGTTTCCCAATAGAGACTTGTGTTAGCCAAAACTAATTGTACCATTGATCAATTAACAATTCTCTTTGAGCATGGTCATGCATTTTGAAGCCAATACCAAATCATCGAGGGGCCCAAAGATACGGACTTCTCGGGTTAAGGGAGAAGGACCAAATAAACTTTGACTATATATATTTCGCCTATTCCTCATTTCATATATGGTCAATCCCTGTATGGTTGCCAATTACAAACAACATTGGGAAGAAATGAAGACAAAACATATTGCAACACAAAAACCTCATGCATCTATGGTTGAAGAATATATAATATTGCCATCTTGGAATTACTTGTGATAGAATCCCTGAAGTAATATCTAAGTGCAGGTGACTCTAATACTTAAAATCTCTATTTAAGTACTCATGAGTATTTACCGCAATTTTATGTTATGTCAATCTCCACGGACAATCTACCAATGCTCCATGACAATCTTAACTCACTACTTTCTTCTAGAAGTAGGACCAAGTGTGGATGTTTCAATAAATTAATATTCTGGAAGCGGCTCAAAACATGCAAGAGAGGAACATAATGATAAACTAATGAAATGATTGATTTCCATCATATATTAAGATCTCCATCTAATAATTGCTAAATCAAATAAAGACTTATACTACTTAAGTTCCCAAATAAAGAAAAAATAAATTAAATGTGTTCAAGCGAATTCTTTTTCAAATCTAATGCCTTTTGACCTTGTGTAACTATCATACATGGTCAATGACATTGGATTAGAGAATGGATCGACAAGATTTTCTTTTTATATGAATCCATTGACTATGATGTCTTCGCATTCAACTTACTGAGTATATTCCATGTAAGTTTGTGTGACTTGGGATCCTCACTCAAGGTAAATTCACCCATATAGTCACAAGAAACTTTAAAAACACCATCACTAATTGAATTCAATAATGAGGCCACTGATGAATCTCTTTTTGTTACATAGGTTTTGTTACATAGTGTGTGTGTGGCTCATCTTCGTTTCTTCAAATTTAAACTCCTTGAGGTCTCTCATGGAAACAAACATTCCAATTGTGAGATGTTTGTTTCAGTCCATAAATGAACTTCTTAAGCTTACACATCATTCACAACCTATCTTGGTTTGAGTACATGTATGTTCCTATCCATGCTTCTCAACTTCTTAAAGATCTACTTACATATAACAATTTTAAGGCCAAGTGTTCGATCAAAAAAGTTTCAAACATACTGTTAGGTGCTTTTTGTGCACATTTTTGCACCTCTTTTCACCCCCTTTATGCATCCATTTAGTGTATTTTATTTGATTTTATATGCATCTTATTAAAATTCATGTTAGTTTCAAGAAAAACCTTATTTGCACATTTTTATGGTCTTTTTAGATGATTTGGAGGGTGGAAACGCACTTTGGGATGTGTCGGGAAGACAGGTGAAGATATCGGGATGATTGGACGTAAAATGGAAGAAGACGAAAAATCAACTTGGTGCCTGGAAACATAAAGAAACATGTGGCATGTTGGAATTGCACCAAAAGATGAATTAGAATTGCACCAAAAGATGAACACAACACGTGTTGACCAAATTGGGGTTGTTGACTGCTGTTGACCACAGGTCTTGTTGGTCCAAGTTTCCACTTTTTAGCAATCTACTTTGGAGGAAGGTCCGGAGCTAGCAAGACATTTTATAGACGACACGGTCTGTGTTAAATTACCATATTTTGACACGGGTTGTGTTCAGCCCAATACTGCCTTTTGGCAGTTTTCCCTTTTTACTCTATCTTGAGATTTTGCGCATTTTGACACATACTGTGACAACCCCAGATTTATGGTCATTTTAAAATTTTTATTTATGCTTAATTTAAAATAGACTATTTCTTTTTTTTGTGGAATTGGTCCCATAAAATATTATTTCAATGAGAGATTATATTAACATTAAACATTTATGAAGAAATGTTCAATGTTGATTTATTTTCAAAACGTGAGATGTGATAACTGATACAAAATATAAGCATAAACAGACCTTACATTAGTTACACTAATGATCTAAATCTCCTTTAATCTCTCAATGTAATGTATCTTCGCATGGATACCTGTGATATAAATAAACTGAGTGAGTTAGGTTGGGAAACCTGATGAGATACATAGGATTTTCAACCCACAATATTATAATCTTTAATTATATATTCTTCA